GGAGATGGAATGATCAACTTGAACAAAAGTCTTTTTTCAATGATCACCTCAAATTAGACCCCAATGAAAAGCTTAGCTAAGTATGCATGTGTTATACACACCAAAGACATTTTAACTAATATTTATATATTAACGAAAAAGCTTCTGATCAAATATTGTACTGAATTAATTGTATGGTTGTTCTAATTGGTATTAATTAATGTACCCTCGCTTCTTCGTTATTTAATTGAAGGCCCTAAGGAATGTAAATATGGCGCCGTTTCTGAAGGAAGGTAGGCGTACGCCAGGAGAAAACATGGGCTTCAATCCGACAAAGGCCTAAGAAGCTTCCTTAATTGAAGGCCCAAAAAACTGAAATTGGGTGGCGATTCGGGTGGGAGGAAGGCGGAGGTCGCGCGGAAACGGGAAAGCCCCGCAAAGTGAAAAAAAACGGGTGTCCGAAACGGTTCCAGCCGCGCCCAAGCTTCCAAGCCAAGGAATCATGACCAGGGGGCAAACGGGGGAGAAGTGACCGTTGGTAAGCTTGTGCTTCAGTTTTGACAAAGGGCCCAAAACGATTCCTCTTTGTTTAATTAAAGGCCCACATGTTGGAAAAGGCGACACCGTATTTATCGGAAGGTAGGCGGACGCTCGGAGAATAGATGGGCTTCAGTCAGACGAAGGCCCAAGAGGCGTCCTCCCTTTTTAATTGAAGGCCCAGAAAACTGAAATAAGGCGGCGTTTTGAGTGGGATGTAGGCGGACAGACGGCGAAAACGTGAAACCCTTGCACAACCGAAAAGCTGGTGCTAGAAACGGGCGAAACGCGAAACGTTTCGGGTCCTCAAAACCAAAACCGAAACGCGAGAAATTGACGAGAAATTGAAATTGACGAGATCTCACGATATGACAAAATATCGCGAATTTACACGATATATTGACTTTTTTGCGATATATTGACCCTGTGATGAATTGGCACCTTGAGGAGCCAGAATAAATGAGAAAAAGGACGGAAATCCAGAGAAGCGATCGCAAAGAAACACGGGGAACCAACAGAAAACATAGTGCGTTCATGATTTGCGGCAAAATTCCTGCATCCAATTGCGATTTGGGATTCCAGAATGGATTCGGTGGCCGGAATTCCAGCATCAGATTGTGAAGCGTCGTGGGGAGGCTGCAGGATGGGAAGTCTCGGGTTTCTGGTTCTTGTGCATTGGACTCAACCGATTTGGACGATTACTGCTTGGATTCGGTCAATCCAGAGCAATGGTGGTAGCAAATAGCAATGTTAATCCTCATTGAAGTTCACAGGACCTTCAAAGAGTTGCACATAAAATTTCAGGGGCTCCATTCATGAGCCAATAGGCTGGTAATTTGACGATCTAGCTTTTCTGTATCCGTTTGTGAATGTACAGATGAATGAAAGAACAGGAACTAAGTGAATGAATGTGAGTTAATACCTCAATTTGAAGGGAAGAATGGGACTTCACTCCTTCCAGCTTACTCTGGTCCATTGCACTGTTTTTTAAGGGAATGCGGAGGATGAAATCTTCAGAGAGAGAGAGAGAGATGTAAGATCTTTTACGTCAAAGGGTGCAGCCCTTAGGTTTTTCCTTGTTCAGAAGAAGAAGAACGAAAAGCAGGGGAGAAAGAGGAAGAATCCAATGCATCCACTGTACAAAATTGGTTGATATACAACAACTGACATACTAATCCAATGCATAAACTTTAAGGATAAAGGCAGCAAAGTTCCAACCAACGCAAAATACATGATAGAAATAACAAAGTACATTCTTTGCTAACAAACTTCAATATTTCAACAGAAATATCAGCTAAAACTGTCAAACACACGAGTTCTTATACGAGGATCACACGAACACACGAGATTACGTGGTTTCCCCAACGATGATCGTTGAGACTAGTCCACGGCACTACGGCAGAGAGTTCTTATTATCACCAAAAATACTTGACCTAGGCGGCCATACAACACACGTATATATACAAGCTATTAACCCTACTTTGGACAATTGCAAATTGGTACTTAAACTTCTAACACCCTCCCTCAAATTGATGTTGTCGTAACATCAATTTGTGTGCTAGAAACCAATGTCGTGCTGACGCAACCGCCTTAGTTAACAGGTCTGCAGTTTGATTCTCCGAAGTTATGTATGCCAGTTCTACTTCTCCTTCAACCACCAATTGTCGAATGTAATGCACATGAACTTCAATATGCTTTGTCCTGTCATGAAGTACCGGGTTAGTAGCAATTCGAATAGCACTGGTGTTGTCCACATGTAACCGAACTGGTGTCTGAATCGCAACTCCCAATTCAGCCAGCAGTCTCTTGAGCCACACAATTTCCGATGCAACTTCACTCATAGACCGATACTCAGCCTCAGTAGAAGATTTCGAAACACGATCCTGTTTCTTGCAGCGCCAAGAAATAAATGAGTTGCCCACCTTCACACACCAGCCTGATGTAGATCGTCGTGTATCAAGACACCCCGCATAGTCAGCGTCTGCGTAAGCTTCCATCACTGCCTCTCCTCGCACTGGGAATAATAACCCCACATCCAGTGTCCCTCGAAGATACCTCAGGATCCGCTGCACTGCTGTCCAGTGTGAAGTCCTCGGAGCTGTCATAAACTGACTTACCACCTGAACAGCATATGAAATATCCGGCCGCGTATGAGTTAGATATATAAGACTGCCCAGTTTGCACAGGTCTGAAGACAAGAATACCATGTGCTTAACAAATGGGGGTCACCGGGAATCGAACACAAGACCTCTCGGTCACAGAAGGCTCTGATACCATGTCAAGAACCAGTTGATCCCAATAACTCGAGTTGTTGGGAGAGGTTCAATCGTGGATCATATACCACAACACTAACAAAAACAAGAGAGGCAGTGAGCATATCGAGCTCAGTCCAAAGAGTGAGAGCCTCTTGATGATAGGTACGGATGTCTCGATCTCCAGCTGGAATTGACAAGCAATATCAGCATGGGCATACGTCTTAGACAGGTACTACCACATGGTGTGTGTTGTCTTGAAGGATCTCAACTCCAACGCTATGGTTGGATCGATGGAATTGAGAAGCCAACTTATGACTTGAGCGTTGCTGGTCGTCCATTTTAGAACTTCGAGCTCGGCCGTGGAAGGCGCTGGTCTCGGCGAAGTTCCATCCAAGAGTGCAGAGAGTCCATTTCCTTCAACATAGATGCGAAATTGGAATTCTCATAGAGCAAAGTTCTTTCCACTGAATCTTACAGAGATGGAGTTGGACTTGATATTCTCCATGGCGATGATTGGCGGCGTCTGTATTTGATGGCGGGCATCATGATGGCGACGACGTCGATCCAGAGGGCAATTGGTGGTCGCTGATGTTGGTGGAGACTGGAGTGGCAATGATCTAGCTATCAATGACAATGAGTTTCTGACCATTCTGATGAAGGGGTGTGGCAATGATATGAGTAGTTGGTGATTGCACATTATTACAAGTGTGAGCTGTCAATTACCAAAGGACATTAGGCTTTAACATGGACCACAAAGACGTGTACAAGAACTACACATGTCTTTATTTGCAATGGAAGAACCCAACATGTATGGAAATGTATACACACATCCTTTAATTTTGGGTCTTCCCCAAAATCAAATTCTTTTTGCTTAGAAGAGGAGACAATGAGGAACATTTCCTTCTTTGTGTTTCTTTCATCTCTAATAAGAGTTTCCATAGTTTGATTTTTGGAATAATAATTACTCCTACTATTCCTATTTGTTCCTTTAGTTTATTATGTACGTATATTCGTAGGATGTTCAGGTGGAGTGACAAAAAAATATAATACAATAAATTAAAATTTTATAAACATTAATAACATAGTATGTTTCAAGAAATTGTTATGGTTTGATAATGAAAATGCAAAGTCGAATTACCAAACCAAATCACTATAACAAATTTTAGATAAATTCAAAATTAATGATCAAACATTTATCATGGTATTCTATGTTATAGAGGGTGGGACAATTAACTAAAAGCAAGTTTCAAGAAAGTGTCAGGTGTAAGGCAGGTGTTGGGACCTTTCCTAATGCCTATAAATAACAATTTGTACTACATGATGAATGAAATAAGAATTTACAATGAGAATTAGTGGAAATGATTAATAACTTATGTTACACTTAACAACAAGTAAATTAGCTTGTAAGTTTATAGTATCATTGCTCAATAACTCATAAAGCTCTTGCCTCTTGAGCTATTGAAAAACTAATATAGAAAATTGAGTTTGTAGATTATATTAATTTTCCCATTTGATATTGATTGTCTATCTCCATTTAATTATGCATAGGCGACACCTATATGTCATCTTACTCCATCAACTTGTTCTCGATACCTATATAACCATAGAATCCCTATATGCGACACCTATATGTCATCTTACTCCATCAACTTGTTCTCGATACCTAACTAACCATAGAATCCCTAGATGAGGCGTTTTGGTAGTATTTGGTGTCTAGGCGTGTTCAATTATAGTTTTAAGTGCACTTTTTGAATCATGACCAAAACTCATAAATTTTCTTGCAATAAATAGGGAATCTTAAAATTTGGTCATTCGGTACTTTTTTTTTCTTGCTTAAAAAAATTGAAAATATTATTATAAATATTAAAAAATGATCTAGCACTTGAGGCAAAATAGTCATTCCAACCTGTTTTTTTTTTTTTTATAGAAACCTGCACATAGCTTTATTGATCAGACGAAGCTGTTACATCATCCAGACTAAGCTGATCAAGCAGACATTCCAACCCGCTTGGGAGCACGGGACAAGTAAATAGCGACTAATAATAATTTGTGGTGGAGCGTAAGACTAGATTCAATAACTTGTATTCCTCTTACCACAGCAAGTGTCAAACGAACCTTCCATTTCTTTCTCACGAACGACCAATCCCCTGTTTCTTCTAATTCTCCTTCCTCCATTCTAGCTTTCACCTTGTGTCCATTTCCCCCTCTCTTTTCGTCTAACCATGATATCATAGCTATAATAGCGATGCTCAAAGCTCAGCCACATTAATCGCTAGCTAGGTGGCTGAGAGTAACCAAACAACGTAAACAGATCAGCATTATTCCCCATTCCTTCACCTAATTGATTGATTAGTCGTGCTGATATTTGACGATTCATTCATTGCTGCCGCCAGCTCCTGCTATGGATAATCTAATATCGTTGGTGAACAAGATACAAAGAGCATGTACAGCGTTAGGTGACCATGGCGAAGAGAGTGCCTTGCCTACTCTTTGGGAAGCGCTGCCAGCCATTGCCGTCGTTGGTGGCCAGGTATCCATTCAACAACACTCGATCTTCCATGTTTCGTTCCTTTTATTTCTCAACAGTGTTTCAAGAATTTGGATTGGCGAGAATTATCCATGAGAAAGAAAGAATCAAAAGCTAGCTTGTTGTAGTTGTGCTCCTGTCCAGAAATTAAGAAGGTGAATTCTGAAATAGAGTTTTGGTTATGGCTTTGGTGGTTTGCAGAGTTCTGGAAAGTCATCAGTGTTGGAAAGCATTGTTGGAAAAGATTTTTTACCTCGTGGAGCAGGTAATTCTGGTTATGAAGTGCAATTTTCATCATGGGGAAGCGTTGTTAATGTGCTTGCTTCAAATGCAGGGATCGTTACTCGACGACCCCTTGTGTTGCAGCTTCATAAGATTGACGAAACAAGAGAATATGCAGAGTTTATGCACCTTCCAAGAAAGAGATTCACTGACTTCGGTATGTGCATTTCTTGGAAACCAGTCCCAAAACTTGTATTGGTGATGGATGCATATTTAGTTAGAATATTTATTATGGTTATTCATATATGTTATTATCGTTTTGTGGAATTTTGGGAGATTTGGGGTAATTGGGAATAATCGAGGGATATCGATAATAAGGAAAATTGTTAGGCTAATTAGGATTGTAAGTGGTCTTACTTCATGCTAATTTCTAATGGTAACCTTAATTGTTTAGCTGTTGTTAGGCAGGAGATTTCTGATGAGACCGATCGGGAGACAGGTCGCTCCAAGCAAATCTCCACAGTTCCGATTCATCTCAGCATTTTCTCTCCAAATGGTGGCTTAACTATGCTCATTGCTTCTTGTATTTCTTCTCTTAAAAAAAATGCTTCGATAATTATTAATTAGTGTAACTTCGTCAACTGCATATTTAAATTGACAAGTACATATGTCTTCAACTACATGTGTCCTTGTCCTAATCTAACGAATACCACAGTAGTATAAATTGTGTTTTAAATTTTAAAATTTGTGCTTTTACGCCTTTAAGACACCAAACACCTTAACTTTCATGCAAAATCGGTAGATCTATAAATTCTGGCAAAATCGATTGTGGAAGCGGTAAAATCGCATAAGATCGATTGTAGCTTCAACTTCGTACAATTGGACTAGAAATTTCGGTTATTTAGTGTTCATAAATCACAAAGTATATATAGCAATTAGATACAATTTTACATGTGTGTAAAAAAAAAAAAAACTAAACTTATGCTTTTACGTAATCTTTCCATTTCCACGTAGAATTGGGCATTTGAGTGTACTAGCAGTAGCCTCCTAAGATGGATGGATTTGCAGAGAAAGCTTTTGTGCTTGGTTAAGATGATTAATTAGTGATTTGAAAAAGATGTCATAGGGTTGGAGGCCTTCAATTTATGACTCTGCTATCAATGTGCAGTTGTGAACTTGACATTGGTTGATCTTCCTGGACTGACGAAAGTGGCTGTAGGTAAGCATTTAAAATTGTTTCTTTTCCAACAACAATAATATTTATGTATGTTGGGCTTGCTACATTTTACAACTTAAACTAATGAAAAAGTGACTTGCTGAATATGTGATAGAGGGTCAACCTGAGAGTATTGTGCAGGACATAGAGAACATGGTTCGGTCCTATATCGAAAAGGTAAAGCAAAGACAATACAAGATGATTAATGGACTTTGACAAAATTTAAGCGAGTATGTATATTTGCATTGCAGCCAAATTGTATAATTTTGGCCATTTCCCCTGCTAATCAAGATCTTGCTACATCTGATGCAATAAAGATTTCTCGTGAAGTTGACCCTAGAGGTGAGCTTCAAAACATCAAATATACATGGCGTGGTGTCTATTTTTCTTGAGATTGTTGTTGTATTTATCTTTGAAGATATATAGTTGTTAAAATCGTCCGTCCATTGCTACTCACTAACTATGTGTTAGGAGGATACAATTTGCAGGGGAGAGGACATTTGGGGTATTGACCAAGATTGATCTTATGGACCAAGGTACCAATGCAGTTGATGTAAGTATGGTCTGGGTATCCAGTTGTGAATGTGATATTGGCCCTTTTTTACTTTCTCTTCTCTTTCAGATGCTGGCTTATGTATGTGTGCACTAGCACTAGCACTAGCACTAGCACTAGCACTAGCACTGCACAAGTAGTTATAGGCTTTGCATCGTTGTTGTTGGATTATTTCCCAGATCCTGGAAGGAAGATCATATAAGCTTCAGTTTCCATGGATCGGCGTTGTGAACCGCTCCCAAGCTGACATCAACAAAAGTGTGGACATGATTGCTGCTCGGCGCAGAGAGCGTGAATATTTCCAGAGCAGCCCAGAATACAGACATCTAGCTCAAAGGATGGGTTCGGAGCATTTAGGGACGATGCTCTCAAAGGTACGTACGTACGTGATACAAGAGTTGAGACCGAACAAGTATATAATTAGAACAAGCAAAGCAACTGATGAAAACTTGTGCAGCATCTGGAACAAGTCATCAAGTCACGAATTCCTGGGCTCCAATCTCTTATCAACAAAACCATCATCGAGTTAGAGGCAGAGTTGAGTCGTCTTGGAAGACCTGTCGCTACCGATGCTGGTGTAAGATCTATAATACTATTGGCCTTACCTCTTGTTTAATTAGAAACCCTGCATCTCAGAAAATCAATCAATTAATTATAGCACAAGCCATCTATATGAATATGTGTCATTCATCTCATCTCTTAAAAGAAGAAGCACAACATAACATAAATGCAGGGGAAGTTATATATGGTGATGGAAATTTGTCGAGCTTTTGATCAAATATTCAAAGAACATCTTGATGGCTCGTAAGTCTGCTTCCACTTTCCCCATGTGCTGTGCTAATTGATTGCAATGCTTGCTTGCTGTCATCAATTTTGTTCTCTCTCGTAACTGGCAGACGTTCAGGCGGTGAAAAAATCTATCAAGTATTTGATAATCAGCTTCCTAGTGCTTTAAAGAGGCTGCACTTCGACAAACAACTGTCGCTAGACAATGTGCGAAAGCTCATCACTGAAGCAGATGGATACCAGCCGCATCTAATAGCTCCCGAGCAAGGCTATCGTCGTCTTATTGAGTCCAGTTTGGTAACCATCAAAGTTCCTGCTGAGGCAGTTGTTGATACGGTAAGTATGTCTGTCTGTCTGTCGCTCGCTTAAGTGTACGTACATGTTGCGCGATGACCAAGACAAGGAGTAACTATATTGCATACTTGTTCGCGATCGTATGACATTAATTTTCAGGTTCATGGTATACTCAAGGACATGGTTCATAAGTCTATTAACGAAACCCAGGTTAGGTTACCCCCTAGCTGAGCTAGTAGTTCATCAAGTTTAATTAATGTCTGGACTGGTTGGTTGTTGTACCTAACCTAGCTCATAGATTTTAATTTTATCCCGCTAGCTATAGTTTGTTGCTACATTTGTTTTGTGATAGCACTTCTCATGCATGTCCCGCTCGATCGAAACAGGAACTGAAACAATACCCTACCTTAAAAGTGGAAGTCAGCAACGCCGCCATCGAATCTCTAGAGAGGATGAAGGAAGAAAGCAGAAGAGCAACTCTCCAGCTAGTTGACATGGAATGTTGTTACTTGACCGTTGATTTCTTTCGGAAGCTACCGCAAGACATTGAGAAGGGCGGAAATCCTACGCATTCCATCTTTGATCGCTACAATGATGCTTACCTCAGACGTGTTGGTAACTAGCTAGCTATACTTTTTTTTTTTATCTTCTTTCTTGTTGCGCGCGCGCGCCGTACGTGCTAGCTTCACCAAACTGCAAACTAAACTAAACTAAACTAAACTAAACTAAACTACTCCTCCTTGGTTTTGTTAATTGATTAATGTTGTAATTAAAATAGGGAGCAACATATTGCAATATGTGAACTTGGTTTGTGCAAGCTTAAGGAACTCCATTCCCAAGTCAGTTGTGTACTGTCAAGTAAGGGAAGCCAAGCGAAGTTTACTTGATCATTTCTTCGCGGAGTTGGGTAAGAGGGAGGTCAGTATATATATACATACATACATACATACTAATTTTAATTTTCTTTCATCATATATTATTTATAGCCAAGATCATAGCTAGAGAGAGGAAGCTAAGGCGGTTGAAATAATAATACTAGTACTAACTAAACTACTAATGGTTCACTTTCTGCAGACGAGACAAATGAGCTCTTTGCTGGATGAAGATCCGGCAGTGATGCAACGACGAACCTCCATTGCAAAGAGGCTAGAATTGTACAGGAGTGCTCAAGTAGAGATCGATGCAGTTGCTTGGTCTAGATAGATAGACACACAGATATTGATTAAGGCATAATATTGTTTGGACCTGTTCACAGGACTTTTTTAGGGACTGTCGGTTCGACTTGTTTTGTTGGGATTTGGAAAACATCTCTTGTCATCTTAGGTGACAAAAGATCGTCTAATGTCAATTTATTCACATATTTTCGTGTTCATTCACGCCATTTGGTGTGTATTCACGTAGTACTATGTTTATTCACGTAAGAGTGTAAGTTATTCACGTAAATGAAAATTCAGACTTTTCCCCCTAATAATTTGTATTGGCTATATTTTATGGAATTAAATTTGGATTCTCAATTAGTCTGTAAAAATATGTTGCATTGATCATAATCTACACAATGACATCCATTTTGATATATTTTAACGTCTAAAATTTAATTTTACAATGGCGTGAATAAATAACAATATGCGTGAATAAACACCAGGTTACGTGACTATACAATATTGGTTGCGTGAATAAGCAACACTCTTGCTTGACTAAACAATATTGATATCACTCTTGGGTAAAATAAATTAAAATCAAACATGATGTAAAGCCAATTGATTGATTTATCAATAAAATTTGCTAAACATAAATAATATATGTGAATTATAGTATAAGTTACGACTTTTTGTTTGACATATCTATGATAACTAACAATCGGACAAGCGAGAATGATAAATTGTAGTATAGTATAAATTCCTTCTATCATTTATAACATTTTGTGTGATTTTTTGATTTCGGTAACTTGGATTATTAAACTCGCATGTAATCGTGTAAACTTAAAATAGCTTGTGAGAATTTGGATTCTTAACTTGTTTGTGAACTTATTGTTAAGATGTTATGAGTTTGCTTTACTTTAGAAAGGAACTACATGTATATATTCACTTATCTAAGCTCTATACACTCATATTTTATATAGTACACACCTTACTTAACAGATTTTTAGCTATTATACAGGATGCATAAAAAAAAAACTTACGCATTTATGCTTTAATTCAATGCTTTACGATTTTACCCAATTTTCGCTTTTAGGTAGATTCGCGCTTTTGACTGCATTGATCCTAATGAGCCACGCCAGTTTGACTGGTCCACTGGTTCACCTTTTTAACCACAAAAAAATAAGAAACAAAATAATTAACATAAACAATGACCATCCAAACTCAATTACTACTTTAATCTACTACTTTTGGTGGTGGATGATATGCATTTGAAATTGATTATGGTTAGTAATGAATTCCTCCTAAATTAGAATATATGTCTTTATGTTATAGCTCATGAACAATTCTATTAATAGTTAACGAACGATTCTATAGAGGTTAACTGTTGAACCATAAATCTAAACCATGCTAAATCGTCCAGCTCAGCTACCGATCCGATTTTGAAAACAATGTGTAAAAGGTGTTAAAACCATTATAACAAAGTCTGAAAACTATGCTGGTAGTTGTAATTCTAATTTAATGTTGGACTCAAATGCAAGATGGAGTTGTTTTTGGTTGAGCTAAGCATATTCAAACCCCTCCCCAGAACTTCAAACCCCTCCCCAGAACAGTAGATGGTATTTAGGTTTATATATATTAATATGCACATTACAACGTGCATAATCAGCTTGACAACCTTAAAGTTTAATCAAACCTTGACTTACTCAAGAAAACAGAACAAGGACACCTAGGTCATGTTCGGTGACCGGTAGTTAGGATTCTCTAAACTGATGCATTTAATCGACTTATATAATTTGGCGCGGGAGAAGGATTTTTTCCTCCCAGTTCTTGGGAAAGCAATCTCTCATTCGTGACACACCCGGATACTCTTAGGCGAGAAACTGAAATAAGTTGCAAGACCACTAGAAAATGTACGTAACTGGAAACTGTAAACACAGTCCACTGGAAAGAGTTCACTCCACTAACTTCCAGTGCTCATGAAGGAAATGATAAAGGTTCTAATTATATGTATTGTTTCAATACGAATTAGAAAAATACATTGTTTTTTATCTCTAGAAAAATGAGAAAGAAAAAAATATGAGATTGACAATCATTATGTAATGATTTTTATGGTCTAATCTTCTACTCAAATATAAGTTTAAGACAAAAACGACAAATTCTCTGGATTACATATATTGGCCAAATGCAACATTTAGAAATCGGGTAAATGACACATTTGGTCACTGAGATTACTAAATTGTGTCATGTATAGTCACTAGAAAAAATTAATATCAATTTTGGTCACTCGAATTACCGAAACTGGTCAAATTTAGTCACTCTCCCGTCAGTTTCCGTCCAACTCCATTAATGTAGTTGGACGAAAACTTTTGGGAGAGTGACTAAATGTGACATGTTTCAGTAATCCGAGTGACTAAATGTGACATTTTTCAATAATTCGAGTGACCGGAGTTAGACAGAGGCTACAGAAGAGTGACCAAATGTGACATGTGTCAGTAATTCGAGTGACCAAAATTGATATTAAATTTTTCTAGTGACCAAATATGACACGATTTAGTAATCTCAGTGACCAAATGTGTCATTTACCCTTTAGAAATCTAACTTCCAAATGATGCCTAGTAAATAGACGTTGCACGACATTCAAGAGAGAAGTGGGGAAGACATGAAGAACCCATAACAAAAACAATCCACTAAGAGAAAATTAGTGGATTCATCAACAATTAAGTTTGACTGCCAATAATACAAGGATTCATCAACAATTGACTGCCAATCTCCAACCTTTGCCGCAAGACTCAAAAGACAAGTCGACAAACAAAAACACTCAAATCCCCTAACGTAACAACTTCATCCAGTATATGGCCAATCCATTCAAAGTACGTAAGCTCAAAACTACACCCCTTAACATGTCTATCGACCATAAACTTCAGACACCAAACTGAACTCCACCGGGACGCACCTGCTCTCCAAAACGCATCAAACTTCATCGCTCCAGCACTTAATGGTTACTATTGGCGAGTCTGTAAAATAAAATGGTAAGATGAGTATAAAACCACATGCCAGCCCAGAGAATCCAAACTAGTTTGATAAAAAAAAAAATCCGGTTTAACATACTTCAAAAGTTCTGAATCACTATTCCTAACCATAAATCAGTAAATAAGGAAATGATCATTCAGAAGATACCCTCTTCAATGATGAAAAGCCAAGGACAAAAAGGAGAGACGAACAAAAAAGAAAATAAAGCAATGAATTGCAAAGGAAACAGGCAAAAGATAACACTCGACAGAGGTAGCTTCTTACTCAAACAACTGGACAGTTATAGGTGCTGCAGAGCTGCATCAGTGCAGTCTGATTTGCTAAATCTAGGTTCTCGTTGATTAACTGTGGAAACCTTCCAGGAGAAGTGACAGAAAGACTCGACAATGAAGCCACTAAGAATTGTTTCGGATCTTTTATGTCCTTGAGAGGATCGTCCTCCTTCTTTCCAGCATTGTAAAGATTGACAAAAGTTGCAGTATAGCCAACATTTTCAGCAACATCTGGCATTTCAGGTTCCTCTTCAACTCTATGCTCTTCTGGTTTTGAGAGAAGAGTAACAATGCTGTCCAGCATTTTGCCCCATTTACTAGCAGCTGCAGGCTCCACAAGAACAGGAGATTCACAGATAAGTTTGCAAGATGCAACTGCAACCAACTTAACTTCAATATGTCCAGTAATCAACTTGAGTTTTGGTATCCAGAACTTGTCCAAGATAGCAGTAAATATATTTGCTTGAACCGAATTCATTGTGTCAATAAGGTTTCCAGGACCATGCTTGATCAAAAACAAGGACATGAATATCAGAAGAGACTTGATAAACTTTGTTGTCTCCTTCTTCTTCAGGCGGGTGAATAGAGCAGCCCAGATGTGACCCATGTACGGAGCAATGACAGGAAACTCAAGATTCTCAATAACGGTGTTCAGAAGATGGAAACCTTGTTCCTCTGTGCTTGGAGATGATACAAGCCGCTCAAATATTCCAAGCACCTGGCTCAGCCTCCCCTCTTGGTGAAGCTCATGTGGTGCTTTCTGAAGGAAGGCCTGAAGTAGACGAACAAGGGCCGGAACATTCGAATTTCTATTCCATGATTCAGGAGAGAGGAGGAGCATGAAAACTTGCATGTAACTAGGAGAAATAGGCGGCCGATTCAACTCCACTAGTTGAGCCAAGAGTTGAAAGGCATAAGGCAAGAACTCAGTGACATCATTGGCCAAGATCATTTGAAGGCTGGGGAATAATCTTGCCTCAAATGCTGGTATAAGAGAGATGTCCCGTTCACATGCTCTCCTGACAAGAATGGCTACTGACTCAAAGAGATAGTGGTTGAAGATAGGATTTTTGGGGTTTTTGCATACTTGGTTGAGGATTGTGGTCAACCCAATACAACAGGGATCAGCAATGGCTGCATTTATTTCTGCCACTCCTATAACTCGCATGATACACTTCATGATATACTGATTCTCCTCAGACTCTGGAAGCTTCAGTGCATTAAAAAGGTTATTCATCAGCACAAGAATGAATGGACCCAAATCTGCTGCATTATACCTTGCCCGTGCTCCGTCATCCTTGACCAGCAGCAGTTTCTCTATACAACTGGCTGCATAAGAATGAACTACATTTGACTCTGCCTCAAGGAACCGAGCCAAATCTGGAAGCAAGTGAATCGCAAGATGCTTAGGTATCTGATTCCTGAAGACAGTGAAGAATTTAAGGGCCCCAGCTTTGAGCATTGAATAAGCATTAACATCTTGGCTTTGTAACTCTGGCACTATAACTGAAGTAAAGAAACTTTGAACATCAACTATGTCGGTTGAAACATCTACACCCCCTGATTTCTTGCTCGCAAGAGACACTACTAAATATATCGCACAGTCCTTGTCCTTCCAGTTCACTGCCAGATTATTAACATTGGAACTCAACAAGTTTTGTATCTGAGCTGAGGCTATAGCTGTTACCTGCTTCTTATAGTTCGTTGCAATCCCCTTCAGCAACTCACATGCAATCCTCCTCCTTGTGTCAAGATCACTACCTTCCATATCTCTCCTGATATACTCTATATAATTCATCACAAACAGCTCTTCATCATCGTCCCTCAAGCGAACATTGGGAACCACAATATTCTGACAAATCTGTAGTATCACGCTATCCTCTCCGAACAAACCGTGGTGCACACTGGTACTTACTGTAGTTAAGAATTTGATGGCAGTAATAGCCAACTTATCACGAGCAGGATTCTGAGACACATTAACCAACAGAGTCCAAACAGCAAGGGCAAAATCATTCAAGTAGGGCTGGAACTCTTCTTCATTCTTCTCCATATAAAGACTAATATTCTCGCATACAGCAGATCTAAGGTCATCTGCCACAGCAAGTCCAGGGCCACTATTGTCCAGGGCAGGATAAGAAGAGGTCAAGTACTTTTTAAACTCTGTCATCCATTCATTCATATGATCCTCAAAGAACTCGGGCAATTCCTGGAAATTTAAAGAGTAAAAGATCCTACAACAGAGCCTCTGTGACTCGAACAAGGGTTTTAAAGCCTCAAATGAAACAGCCCCAGAGCGAACTGCTGAGTCAATTAAAGCGGCAGTTATACGGAAAATTTCAAGTAATGGAGCAGCAAACTGATCGAGACAGTACTTCAAATCAATGAAAAGGTCATTACTCTTATACTGATAGCGGAACTTTTTGAAGATAGAGTTGGCCGTTCCAAGAATACCATTGATGGTGGCATAGTTGTTGGACTGTGAAGCAGCCTGGAGACTTTGGATGAGCTCAGGGAGCAAGGAGGGCCACGTTTTGGGGAAGTCGTGTTTCCCGATGAGGGAAAGAGCTTCACTGAGCTGCGACTGGATGCGGGGAGAAGACGAGAGCATGAGAGAAACGATTAGGGTTTTGATCTGGTTCTTCTCATCATCTGGGATCGGATTGAATTCGGAATCCTGAGCCGGCGCCCAGCGCTGCCGAAGGTAGTTTTTGAAATTGACCGCCGCTGCGTGACGGATCTGCTCGTCGAAAGTCGGAGTGCCGACCAAGTTGAGTACAGCGAGGGCGAAGTTCGGAGCGTCGGCGGCTTCTGCCAACCGGTCCTCGGCTGCCTTGCGGGGCTCGCGCACTGCGGAGAAAGTGTTGACGAAGCATTGGGCGAGGAAATCTGGGCTCAAATCCATGATCGGAAAAGTGTGGCTATGGAATAGAGGTTGGGAGGTTTTGCGCTCTCTTACTAGGGTTTTGCTGGAGAAGCAGAGTGGAGCGAGGATGAGAATTGGGAGGAACTTTTGAAAGGGTTTAAAAGAGTAAAGACGGTGACTGAGTACTGACTGGGACGGGAGGGGAGTAACGCATTTACCCCTATTTTATTTTGATTAATACTTTTTTTTAGCGAAAATATTACTTGTAAGTTGGTATCACATTTTTTAAGAGTTAATACTTAATAGCATTTGCAATGGGTCGGGTTTGGCAATGTCGGGTTTATCCGTGAAAAAAATTTTGGGATAAAATCTATTAGGTTTGGAAAAGTCACACCCAATCCAACTCGCTGGCTATCCGCAGATAGCCAGCGAGTTGGATTGGGTGTGACTTTTCCAAACCTAATAGATTTTATCCCAAATATTTTCACGGATAAACCCGACATTGCCAAACCCATGAATTTTTGTCGTAAAAAATTTACAATAACAAGTTTCTATTAAAATAAAAGTAAAATATCAATCTCTCAATACAAATTATCCATATATAAAACACCATTTTAGAAAATTCAAGCAAATCACAAATTAACCATACAAATTGTTCAACACCAATCTAGAAACTGAAGAAAATTCAAGCAAATCACAAATTATCCATAAACAACATGATTAATTGAAAACTTCTTCCTACTTGTCAATTAAGCTTCTTCACTCTCCACTCGATAATATCTTCATTCTACACAATTAGAAAGAAAAAGTTAGATATGTATCCACAAACATAAAGAAGATTAATTGCTTATAATACTAAATATACCGAAAAAATTAATTATATGGGTGTGAGCGGGTATCTATAGGGCGGGTATACCTAAACCCCAACCCAACCCGCTGAATAGTGAACGGTTTTAAACCCGAATCCGGCCCAAAACCTGTCAACACGGGTTTTATAAGTGTTGACCGGGTTGGGTCGAGTAGGGTACCCGTGGATTCAGGTTTTGTTGTCATCCATATTTCGTACCCTTCTACTATTGTCGATTAACAAACGTACTTCACTATTAATTTTTTGAATGAACATACCCTTCTAATATTAAAATGTAACGAGTGTACCCTTTCATCCAATTTTTTGTTAAATGGCCGTTTAATGGGCTGTAAAATGACGTTCTTACCCTTATTAACTCCTAATTTCAATTTTATTTTTATTTTTTTTCCTAAACCGTTTCATTAAAAATCAAAACCTACGCCACTACGGATAGCAGCGTTCCTTCTTCTTTATCACCGACTCTGCGACTCCCCCGTAGCAGAGAAAAATCTTCCTCTCTCGTCGCTCCCAGTCCCACATCACATCTCAGTGAAAATCATCACTTGATTGCCGTCACCGCCGAACGTACTCGCCGCTGGTTTTCCGAGAGCCATGAATCACCATGAATTACGGAGGAGGAGATTGTACGTAACCGACGGCAGTAGTGCTCTTCACCGCCACCGCCACCGGCTTGCTTCTCCTCACGCTCAGATCGGTCGATCCTCCGCCTTCCAGCCCTGGCGGCTTCCTCCCAGACCTCATGGAAGAAGAATAGAATCGTGAGTCCCCGGCGGTGATCCAACTCGCTGATGAGGGAGGATTTAATTAAATTTTATCCCTAAAACAAATTTTTATACCTAAACCAATTTCTCTGCTACAGGGGAGTCGCCATAGTCGGGGTAAAGTGGAAGAAGGAAGCTACTGTCCTGGCGTAGGTTTTTTTTTTTATTTCTAAACAACTTCTACAGGGATACAAATTAATTATATATAAATTAGGAGTTCATGAGGGCAATAAGGTCATTTTCCAGTCTATTAAACGGTTATTTAACAAAAAATTGGGTAGAAAAGTACAATCATTACGTTTTAATATTAGAAGGGTATGTTTGTTCAAAAAATAATAAAAGGGTACGTTTGTTGATCAACAATAATAGAGGGGTACAAAATATTATTAACCCTTTTTTAATTATCAAATCATTGGATTTGGAATTTTCAGCCTTCTTTATTGCTATCCTTGCAAAGGTGGGGCAGGACAAGTCGGAAGTAGATACACATGTCCCTCTCCACGCTACTCCAGGTAGGGCTGCAAATGAGCCGAGCTGAGCCGAGTTTTACCCTAGCTTGAGCTTGACTTATTAACAAATGAGTTGAGCTCGAGCCCGAGCCATTTATTAACGAGCCGAGTCGAGTCGAGTTCGAGCTAGACTTATTTACTAAATTCTTAGATCGTATTTGATACATTCATTTTGTATGTCGTGTATGGTACATGTGATTGATGCAA